TGGAAAAAAACAAAAGTTGTTTTTTTCTCTGGCTTCGGATATAAAACTTTTCATTTTGTCGTTGTAGACTTTGTTTAGCAATGAAGTTCTAAATGTGGTGGTTCCACATAGCTTCACATTGGGGTCAAGGAGCTTGATCAACTTGACCAAGAATGGATTTGTTACCTGTCGCCAAGAAATATTTCCAGTAATGAAAAATTTTAACAAAAGTGTGTTGAGCTCGACACTTTTCGAATAGTTTTTTTAATACTTCTAAATCGTCTATGTCATTCTCATCGATGTTTTCGGGGTGAAGTGAATAAAAGTGGGTTCTCATAGAGGACGTTGTTCCTTGAAAATTGAAGTATTTATGACAAAATTTGCACTTTACTTTTTACTTACAATTTGAACATCTCGCGTTGAAATTGCGATGTTTGGAACACTTATTACAATCTTTTTCAAAATACTTCCAAACAAAAAAAAAATTTGAATTCTTGCATGTGTTTTTTATTGATTTTTTAAATACAAGTTTTGTTTTAAGGATTAATATAATTTTAATTAAATAAACATTTTTAATTGGTTTTTTTAGTTGACACTAATTGTTTTTTTTTGCCGTCTGTTGAAAGGTTTTAGTTTTTTTTGAAAAAAAGTTAAGTATTGATTTAAATATTCAAGTTCTTTATAGTTTACTTTCAATTGTTCAAATTTGACAAAACTGTTATTTCTTTTTTATATTTTAAATATTTTGCATTTTTGGTTCGAAGAAGGAATTTCTGTTTTTTTAATTGTGAATTGTGTACACGTTTCAGAAAACAGAAGAATTTTGTCTCTTTTTTACCATTTTCAGTAAATATAAGAAATTTGAGCAATATCAACTCAGTTATCACCACAAAAGATTCTTTCTACCACTTTAGGATTTTTTACTCTTGCGATTGCGCACCCTAACATGGAGATTTGTTATGGTTTTTCAAAACTACATGAAACTATACTTTCTATTTTTCATTATTTAAATGGTTTTCTTTTTTTACCATCATTTTAGAATGTGTATAGTTTGGACGATTTTGTGGCTAGCCATTTTTTTATCACTACTGGCTGACAAATCCTAATTAATTTATTCAACAAATTAAAAATAATAGTTCCAAACACAAATTCTGGCTGAAAATATTTAAAAATTAAGACGGGCTAGCCACCAGTTAAATCCGGTTTGCAGCCCTGAATCAGTTCACGGTCTCCAGTTTTAGGGGGACCGAACACATAGGTTTGGGGTTATTTTCTCAAAATCGTCGAGAAAACAAAAGAAAAATAAAAACAATAGACAAAAAAAATAATAATTTTTATGATTTTCTTTTTCATAACACAATTTTTTTTGGTTTAGTAAAAAAGTGAGCAAAGCAAAATGTCGATTCTCTGATAACATAATATTGAGGGGGAAAATGTTATTTGTATGAAAACTAAAAATAAAAAACAACAAAATTGATGAAGGGAATCGGGGCAGTGTTGAAAAAAATAGAATTCATACATTTATTATAATAAGATTATTATTATTTATTATTCGACGTAAAACTCAGGAAAAATAACACAAAAATTTAAATTGTTAATAAATATGAAACAAAGATAGTTTAAAAAAATTAAAATAAATGGAATTAATAACTATAACTTTTATTGTTTTATTGTGTAGATTGTTATAAGTTCATTTTATTTAACACAAATCGAAATTATTATTATTGATTAACATATTATAATTATTATAATTTTGAAAACAATTAAAACCAAACCCACCATAAGCACAATTTAATTACTCTTTATTATTTTTTCATCCTTTTGAATTCAATTATCATTGATTTTCAAAAATTATGGGTTTATATAATATTAAACTATAATAAAACAATAAAAGTTTTAGACTATGATACATCAAATTATATTATAATCCAAATCATATTATTGTAAATAAAAATGCGTGTTTGTTTATCCAAAAAGGCATTTATTGTTACATTTCAATATTATTGAAACAAACAAGTAGCATTTTTGTGTATTGTGTGGCATTGGTTGGTAATTGATTATTCCCGACTTTGTATTCAAAAAATACCCTCTTGTTTTATATCCTATTGGGCCCTAAAAACAAAACAATTGTTCAATAATGAAATAACTATATTTTACTTTATTAAGAAGTTACATAAAATGTGCTGATGTAATGTAATTATTTTTGTAAAACATTTTTACAAAAATATTTGTATAAATTATTTCCCAAAAATGTTTGATAGATGGTTTTCTTCTTTACATTTTACATTACAATATCAACATTACTGACTTTCTGGGACAAAAAACAAAAACAACATCTCAAAAATGTAATAATTATTAAAAAGCGATTAATTTATTAAAGATTATTTTTAAAAAAAGCACATTTATTTCTAATTGTGTTGTTGTGACAAAACTAAATATTAATCACCATATTATGTC